AAGACGGGTCCTGCTATGGCCCTCCAGGTGTCCAGATTTATCCCAATCGGACACTTAATGGACGACTGCGAGCATGTCAGCAACAACCACAGAACCTCAGACAGTTGGCACAAGCACTGCAGGGAGAGTGGGTGAACATTCCCCATGCCACATCCGGGATCTGATTGCTTCCATGGGAGGACTTTGCCAGTCAGATTTGGACTGTAATGGTGGCTACATGATTGAGAACAGATGACCTTCATCTTGAAAATCTACTGTTCCATGTGTGTCCTAATGACTTTAAGTCAATGACAATGATGTGTGCCAATTTTGAACAATCGATACCATCTGTTGATTTTCTATATGATATGTGAACTATACATTCTTGTTTGGCAGAGTATTAGTCAGACGTGTCAAATGGGCAACCCGGTGTGTTAGCTGATGTGATAACAAGATATAACTTCTATATCCACAAATTCTGAACTCTGAAGATGCCCCTCGTTCCTCTTAATGCAACTAGAGTTGCTATGGAGACGCGAGAGACGTTGTTATTAATCAAGGGGAAGCCTGAATGCACGCGTCAAAGTCGATACCATCGAGATGGACTGGCGATATGGGTGGCAGGTGTTCGTGTCAGTATGATGCGAATTACATCGCGGACGTTATTTAGGTCTATAATTACATGCATGCCAACAGACATGGATGATATAACTGTACAGCCTATCCGCATCACCTACACTAGACAAGAACAGCGTCAATTTTATTACAATAAAATGTGATTCATGAACTATAAACCTGGACAAAAGTTAAGCACCACATGATATAATGAATGATAACTTGTCACTGTTGACAAAGGTGATTGTGACAAGAATGGTTTTCAATCGTGAAGATTTGAATGCTCATATCTGACGGGGCAGCATGCCCAGCATGCCCAACATCTGTATGTTCAAAATCGGGCATTTCTATACGCTGTCTTGCAATGTTCAATCACTTCCAGTGAACACGACACGAAGTTGGATGTCAGAGGCACAATTATGGCAAACAATCGGAATGCATTCCATAGGGTTGTCCGACAACTCGGGCGTCAACTGTGCTATCATTACGCAGTAATCGGCCGATTGGTGAGAACGTCAATGCTGTGAAAGACCTGTCGCGGCCAGAACGACCTCCTGTGACGTCATAGCGTGAAGACAGGTCATTGCGTCGATTAGTACGACGACAGACATTTGCATTGAGTCCAACCCTGAAGCAAATATGGATACCCAATCGACGTCTGTCCACCAGAACCTTGGGGAAGTGCTTGAGAGCAGCAGGAATGGCGTCCAGGAGAGTCATGAAACTCCCCAGCATATTAATCGTTTTATCATAACAACCCTTCCGTGGAGTAGTGGATACAGCAATGGAGCTGACAAACCCGCATAGGTTGAGCAGACAGACCAATATGCTCGTAGAATAGGTAATTCAGCAACCCATGCTTGCCGTAAAAGGCGACTAACGGGATCGGGTGGTCAGGCTCGCTGACTTGGTTGATGCATATCATCGTATCCCAATTGCATGGATCGATGCTCATGATGTCAATCACTGGATTGTCTGGTGTAGACTCGCCGTCATATAGCTGGAATACTGCTGAGTACAGTGTTAAACAACAAACAAACAAACAAACACTATCTATTTGAGTAAACGTTAGCAGTCGATCGCATAACTGCAGAATTGGAGTTTGGTAAATTTGGCAATGTTCCTTTACAATTGTCATTAACATGCCCCGGTACAGTGTAGACATTGAAGGACTTGCATGTAGTTCCTCAATACTGCTGCCTGCATGTGTATGTTCATCAGTCGGTGGTGTCGAGGACCTGTCAAGGCCGACACAAATCTACACATGCAATCAAAGGGCAGCGGTTAATATTTATGTTCAGGTGTCTGTTACATCTTGCTGAATGATCCATTAGTGTGAAGGATTCCTATTTGACCAGCCGTTACCAAGAACCACAGCACTTCACAAGCCTGGAACGCTAGATTATATAACCTAGTTTACTCTCGACTTACACATTTTAAGCAAACTTTGCTGACTCATGGACAATACAGTTAATCATATAACGTCAACGGCTGCGAACAGTCAGTCTCGATTAGCCGACGACATAGTGGTGGAACTATATGAGTAGATCACAGTCAGTCAGTGATGATACAAGGATTGAACACGCGCAGGTGTATCACATCGTACCTTTGACTCGTTTATCCGGACATTTATCGATGCGTGCGATTTCACTTGGAACGCTACCCTCTGGTTTAACGGGATTTCGCTGATGCAATAGTAACTTTAAATTTAACGTCCCGCCGGCATTATTTCAGCCATATAGCGACGCTGATGCAATAGCGTTTGAATACGTCACAACCTTAACTATTATACTCTAAATGAAAATGTGTCTACACTTGTATTTGCAGAATGAGTGAGTGAATATGGTTTTACGCCGCTTTTAGCAATATTCCAGCAACATCACGGCGGGGGACACCAGAAATGGGCTTCACACATTGTACCCATGTCGGGAATCGAACCCGGGTCTTCGGCGTGACGAGCGAACGCTTTAACCACCAGGTTACCCGACCGCCCCTTGCAGAATGATAGGCCAGGGGTTCATATTACAATTATTATGACAAGGTATGAGTATATATACTTTTTAACAGAGCACGGTAAACATAGACATCAATATTTGGTCTCTTGCAAAAATAGACACAGGGATGAGTAGTTTGTACATTGCCAAGAAATATGCATGTTGTTTCTTAATTCAAAATAACTGTAACATGTAAGAATACAGTGAAATTCATCTTCTACACTCTTCAAAGTACATAATGTACATGGTTTAGTCTGGTATTTGAGCGAGGCCTCGGTGAGTCCTATTCCCTTCCAACCAATTCATGTGTACCGTCAATCTGATAATATCTTATCATTTAGATAGGAACGTTTATGTTAAAAATACAGTAACTTGCGGTACAAGTCAAAGTACGGTATTGTTCAAGACATCATTCTGGCCACTGATGTGTCGAATTTAGAAACGTCCTCCAAATGCGACAAATTTAGAAACGTCTATCATAAAACGTGTTGAATGTTTTACTGAGGCTTGGGTGCCGTATGTCCGAGCAAACAACGATTGCACAAGATTCGTATAACTTACGATGTCTTGAAATTCCCGATTTAAACACACACACACAACACACATATACGCACACACAAAACACACATACATACACACACAACACAAACATACACACACGCAATCAAGCACGCACGCTCGAACAAAACACATACACAAAACATGCACACACAAACACACTTGAATCCACACTCAGACATAAGCCTGTAATCTCACTTGCAGCTGTATGTGGATCAACTATATCAAGGCATTTTTCAGGACAGATTCTCGTACGTAGACAGTTACACGTACAGTTTGCACTAGACTAACATCTAGTCTCTGAAATGAACTGTTTTACAGAAGAAAAAAAAAAAGTTGTTAATTTATAGTTAAAATTAATATAAAGGATCCTGGATACTCTTCATTTTCTATTCTGCAGTAATCTAGACTTGCCAAATATTATAGACCTGCATGGGCTGTATTTGATATATTTGTTTCAGGGTCTGCGTGACAGGCTAAGCTTGCACACACAATGACCAATAGTACATGTATGCATGCAGCTCTGTGTCCCTGCTGAGGTGCTTGTCAAACTGATCATATCAGTGGCACGGGCTGTACCCGCGTCAGCGAGTGTAATTGCTGCAGGTGGCTCGCGGAAGGTCAGTCGGACCTGCCACTGTCCCATATCTGACGTAATGCTGCAGTATTCCTGATAAAATGCTTGAAATAAATAAAACTTTATAATCAAATTATCATGGGAGTCCGCCTTCCCTGAAACCTCTCAGCTCACTAAATATTACCTTTCGATCGGCTACCTTCAGATTCAGTTTCCAGTTAATGTGGGACAGCATCACCCAGTCGGTCATTATGTTCTCTTTCAGAACAAATATAGATCGCCTTCCTCCACATTCAGTTTCCAGTTAATGTGGGACAGCATCACCCAGTCGGTCATTGTGTTCTCTTTCAGAACAAATATAGATCGCCTTCCTCCACATTCAGTTTCCAGTTAATGTGGGACAGCATCACCCAGTCGGTCATTGTGTTCTCTTTCAGAACAAATATAGATCGCCTTCCTCCACATTCAGTTTCCAGTTAATGTGGGACAGCATCACCCAGTCGGTCATTGTGTTCTCTTTCAGAACAAATATAGATCGCCTTCCTCCACATTCAGTTTCCAGTTAATGTGGGAGAGCATCACCCAGTCGGTCATTGTGTTCTCTTTCAGAACAAATATAGATCGCCTTCCTCCACATTCAGTTTCCAGTTAATGTGGGACAGCATCACCCAGTCGGTCATTGTGTTCTCTTTCAGAACAAATATAGATCGCCTTCCTCCACATTCAAACTTGACGCTAATGTATATGGGCCTTTAGACTGAATCAAATATTATAGGAAAGGCGTTATACTCCTTTAAAGAAGACAAGTTGTGCCTTAGCAATTGTAGCAAGCCCGTATATCAATAATAATAATAATAATAATAATAATAATGATAATAAGATAATAATACCAAAACAAAAAATAGTAACAACAACAACGTGAGTATGGTGGAGTGTCAACCGACAATAGTTTGACTTTCTTCAGTTGAATGAGTCGTGTGAATCGGGCTTAGTGTTTGAACATGTTATCACAGTATTGAAGCGTACAAACAACTGTCCGAAGATACCCTGAATAAACACGGACAAAGACGCTATATATATAGCTACTTCTGTACAGGCCGGAGCTGATGCAACACATACAACGTGTGCTTCGCTGAACAATCACAGGCGATGTTTACACCAAGACACATATACATGTGAGAAATGTCTACACATATTTCATGCGTACACTTGATCAATCAGCCATAGAACATTATGCATTTTCCACACTGAGGAGAATACCACTAAACGTTACTCACCGAGTCATGCGGCTACACCGTGGTGAGAATCGGGTCCCAATGGTCAAGGTCCACTTTTGTATACAAAGTGGACGTACACGCTACAGTAAACAGCTCGACTTGCAGGTTAAGGCTGTCACGATCACATGTGTGCAGACATGAGTAATCAGGTGTAAACAGCATGGGCTGTATTTGGGCGACCATAACCATCCACATGTCACTGTATATATGATAGATGATCGGTAATTTAAACGCCTCTGGTAAGGTAGCGTAAGCGGGAAAACGTTTTCTCATTTCTAGATTACATTGTTCATATATCATTTCTAAATGCAACTCTTGGTCCCATATTGTATTAAAGCGAGTGGTGGCATATACCAGAGACCATATAATATTATATGGTCTCTGCATATACTCTGATGTACTGTTTTGAAATAAAAGAGACACATTGTTGTGATAGGAATGAGTTATACCAGTTAGGGCCGGTATTGTTAATAGACAGGAGTAAAACCAGTTGATGCCGGTATTGATGGGACAGACCTGGCAGTACAGTGCCAGTACATGCCGGATTTGTGACAATGTTATAAATGAGTTTTACTGACACCTGGTATTATAAGTATTTGATAGTGACTCGTGAACACGTACTCATGATTAAATAGTCGGAATCGCCTCTGTTTCGGAATATGGAAAGGGTTTTGTCGCTTTTCTTAAACACAAATAAATGCCGTTAACGTTGTGAGATATGGCAACTATATACCAAATGGTGTTGGTATTGATGTGAGATATGCCATTTTTTCTTTATAAAAACCAAATGGTATCGGTATTGATGTGAGATATGATAGCTATGTACCAAATGGTGTCGGTATTGATGTGATATGTGACAACTATATATCACATGGTGCCGTCATTGATAGTACATATGACAACTTAACATCGAATAGTGCCGCGTTTGCCGGCTGTTTCAATCCATATTTCTTGAACTGTTTAACTTCTGTACATCACACACATACTGGGGGCATGGGTGGCCCAATCGACAAAGTTCCGCATTTCGCTGTGCAGAGTTGCGTCCCTTAGGCGTGTCAGAAACCTGTGTTCGTTAGTTCGAATCCCACATTCACCCTCATTATGTTTCTAGGTTTGTCACACCCGTGATTGTAATGTGATATTACTCATACCCTCCTACAAACATTCGAATGTATTGACTCTGTATATATCTTCTTAAAAATAATTTTAAATTTCGACATTTGTCTACGAACTAAGACCAGTATATCAACAAGCCTGTCCCTTAACTTCCCCTGCCACGCCAGTTTATGTCTGGTTTTGCTTCCACGACTAAAACATTTGCTCAAACACAACAGAGTGCAGATAACACATGTGACATACCCGGGTTCCGTCTGAATACCCTCGTGTCATAATAACACACACTGACATTCCACGTTTGGGCGGTCTGACTATACACACATGCCTGCTGATAAAGCAACAGAGTTTGGGCTCGTGACCAGATATGGGAAGGCTGTATGCGGGATAATACAATGATAACAGCAGCTCATGTCCCAGGTCCCTCACCAAACTGCCATGACGTAAGAGGGGTTTGAGAGGGAGGGGTTAAAATATGGGACGCTGAGAACATGGATGGCGCATTTTGGACCAGGTGATCCTCAATTGTCTTTTTCCGAAATGGGATTTATATATTTGAAGGGTGTGAAGGGAGGGGGTAGCATCTAGCATCGTGAATTGAGGCACTTCAAATACATCGGATTATTATTTGGCCAAACCTAAAGACGTTATGACGGCTCTGTCCTCCCATAATCCCAAGGATTTTAAACAATCTTATACATATAAACCAACCATATTCAAGACTCACAGACAACAAAGATATTATAAACACCATTGCCATGCTGTCATTTTGATCTGTTTTGATTTTTAATCTGATGTGCTATTTTTTTATCTCCTCTTTTGTATCACCGTTTGTGGTTTTAAGGCAAAAAACTGTCAAAAAATTCCGTTATTATTTGATAATATATACAAGTTAAACTAAGCCCCAAATCTATGTAAAAATAGCATGTACATGTATGTAAGCATATTCATGTACCTTTGAATGTATTTGATTGTCGTTCCGATTACTTGTGACCGCCTCCGTGGTCTAGTGGTAGAGCGTCCGCCCGGGGAGCAGAAGGTCCGGGGTTCGATCCCCGGCCGCGTCATACCAAAAGACGTTAAAAGATTGTACTTGTTGTTACCCTGTCTGGCGCTCGGCATTAAGGGGCTAAACAAGGACTGGTCGGCTCGGAGTCAGTATACTGTGTCTGAGTGGGATATTCATGTTAAACTGTGGCATGGTATCTCAGTGAGCTAGCACTATAAATCGGCATCAGTCCGGATTAACACAAACACACACACGTACATGCACGTCACTATATAAGTGCAATAATCTTGGACGCGACGTTAAACCCCATTTCACCTCACCTCCGATTATTTGTTACAAGAGGGAAACCTAAATTAAATCAGTAGATAAGCTCCACGAGGGGTGGATGGTGAGTGTGACGCTGCTTATAGGAAACTTCCAGCAATATCACTGAAATGGGACACCAGAAAATAGGCTTCAACCATTGTAGCTATGTGGGGAATCTATCTCGGGCCGACCGAGTGACAAGCCGACGCTACCCCCACCGCTTCCACAAGTGGTATAGTCCTGTATACATATAACAGCTCAAATACGATCACCAGCTGCAGGTACCTCATTTCAACGTTCATCAAAGTACGAACACGTGATAAATATATATATATATTTCAAGTGGATAAGTATATACAATTCAAGTAATACGGGTGGTCTGGAGCTCGCTGTGCAGTGTTGCGTCCCAAATGTATCCCGATTATGATCTTTGATCCGTCAAAGCGGTTTATATCTTAAGTGATTGCATTCCCTTAATATTAAGATAAAACACTATGGTATATAAGATATGCTGAACAAAGCGGCTTTAGGAGTTTTTCGCACGCACGCACGCACGCACGCACGCACACGCGCACACGCACTCACACATACGCACGCACACACGCGCACGCACGCATGCACACGCGCACACGCACACACGCACAAACGTGCGCGCGCGCGTGCCTCATGCGCCTCGCTATATTGGTGCAATAATTGCTTGAACGTAACCTTAAACCCCACCTCACCTACAAGAAAGATGGGACCTCGGGTTAAACCGATTTAAACTGCTTGGGAAAAGGAAGTGTACACTTTGATTTGACCTAAAGGTTACAAATGTTATCAAAACGTTATTTTGCTCAAAACAGTCGACGAAATGCTGCAAACATAAGTTCCAAAACCTATATGTCAAATATACCCGTATCCAATACATCCCCGTGGGATAACCATTTCTTGTTTGCTTCATTTTAGCCACCATCAAACATGGGTGTATACTTTCTTTTGCCCGGCATAACTCATCATACAACACAACATGATGTACGTTAAGAAAATGTGTGAATAGGTTTTGATAAATCCAAATTATTCCACATCAATCTCAAATATCAACACAAATTAGAATCACAATGAATATATGATAATTTGCAAACCAACATTTAATTTGTTTGTAGAGCGTCGACATGCGCTGATAACTGAAAATATTTATGAAGTCAATGTAAAATAAATATAAAAATAATCGTAAAGATGCAAGCGAATTGTGGTATGTTTTGTTTTATGTTGTTGTTGTTGTTGATTTGGCTTTTGTTTGGGGTTTTTGTTTGTTGTTGTTTGTTGCTGTTTTTGTGGGGTTTTTGTGTTTTTTCTGTGTGTATTTTTTTATTTTTGGTTGTTGTTTTTTGGGGGTTTTTCTTCTTTTTTTTTCTTCTTTTTTTTTGGGGGGGGGGGGGGGGGGGGGGGATGGTGGTATTACCGTGGTAGTTACACTGTTTTGGCTTGGCACTTGACACGTTGGCCGCTTTGCGATGCCAAGGAACACAGCTTCACTGAAATGTCCATCTACCGTACACAATGATAACCCCGTGGTTGTTCTGGTTGTTAGGCTCGTGTGCTGTCCTTTAGGAATTAATATTCTTCTTCTCGTGTGCTGTCCTTTAGGAATTAATATTCTTCTTCTCGTGTGCTGTCCTTTAGGAATTAATATTCTTCTTCTCGTGTGCTGTCCTTTAGGAATTAATTTTCTTCTTCTCGTGTTCATAAAGCTAATAAAGCGTTAGTTCCTGTTAAACATTTACAGGCTGGAGAATATTTCATTTTCTGTTTTATTTAACATGTTTGGTACCCAGATTAAACCAATTATTATTGTATGCATGTGAAGTGTGGGGAAGATTATATCGAGCGGGTTAAAGTATGCAATAGGTGTGTAATCATGTTTCCAATGTTTCTGTACTTGATATGTATACGGTAAACATGTTTTAAATATTGGTTGAAATGGTTATCAATGTCTAACAAGGGATATCCAAAGCAACGTTATCATTATGTCAATGTTTAGATCAATGTCACCGTGTAGCATGGGCATTAAATGTAACAGGATCACTGTTCACTTACGGTTATGGCCTGCTGAATTTATGTACATATACCTATAGCCTTTATACCGGATAAAGATATAAACTTTGTAAGTTTTGGTGACTTGGTTGATCGTCACTATAAATCCTGGGCGTGGGACGATGCTCATGATATCAACCACTAGTTGTGTGGACAAGCATAGATTATTTACAAACCACCGTTGGAATAGTGCTGACTGCGGCGTTAAACAACCATCTCAAACTAACTCCCGCATGAATGAATGAATGAATGAATGAATGAATGAATGAATGAATGTCTTTATTTCCTCCAGATAAATCCGAAGATTCTCAAAACATCAAGATTATGTAATTAAATAATCAAATAACACAGTAATCAAACATATATACATATCAATGTCCCGCATATTTACAGGCTATAAACAGTGAGAAATATTGGTATGGTTACCACACGTTGTTTAGGATATGTTTGAGTTGATATAAATACTTTGAGAATTCAACAATTGTGAAATGCCACGCTTGAAGCTTGTAATTGGTGGTTAATTGTAATTGTTACATTTGCTGCTTGGTCGAAATATATACATATATAAGTTTTGACATTTTTTGTCATGATATACATATGTGTTCACATCTTTCGCCAAGTACTGATCCCCACCCAGCTGCGTCGTGATGTCTGTCTCACTTCAAGTCTGAAAATTAAAGAGCAACTGTTCAGTTTGAGTATACAGGATTTTATGACGCTTTACACAACTACTCCTTGCTTTGCGATTCATGCTTCTCCTCACAAAGTTCAGGTGCCATATTAGAATAAAGATATACATGTCTAACAGCTAGGTCATTTCATACATGTCTAACACCTAGGTCATTTCATACATGTCCATCAGATAGGTCATTTCATACATGTCCAACAGTTAGGTCATTTCATACATGTCTAACAGCTAGGTCATTTCATACATGTCTAACAGCTAGGTCATTTTTTACAAGTCTAACAGCTTGGTCATTTGATACAAGTCTAACAAATAGGTAACTTCATATATGATAAAAGCTAGGTCATTTCATACATGTCCAACAGATAGGTCATTTCATACATGTCTAACAGCTGGGTCACTTCATACATGTCTAACAGCTGGGTCACTTCATACATGTCTAACAGCTAGGTCATTTCATACATGTCTAACAGTTAGGTCATTTCATACATGTCTAACAGCTAGGACATTTCATACATGTCTAACAGATAGGTCATTTTATATAAGTCTAACAGCTGATCATTTCGTACATGTCCAACAGATAGGTCACTTCATACATGTCTAACAGCTGATCATTTCGTACATGTCTAACAGCTAGGTCATTTCATACATGTCCAACACCTAGGTCATTTCGTACATGTCTAACAGATAGGTCATTTCATACATGTCCAACAGATAGGTCATTTCATACAAGTCTAACAGATAGGTCATTTGATACAAGTCTAACAACTAGGTAACTTCATATATGATAAAAGCTAGGTCATTTCATAAATGTTTAACAGCTTGGTCATTTCATACATGTCTAACAGCTAAGTCATTTCATACATGTCTAACAGATAGGTCATTTCATACAAGTCTAACAGCTAGGTCATTTCATACATGTCTTACAGCTAGGTCATTTCATAGACTAACAACTAGGTCATTTCATAAATGTCTAACAGCCAGGACATTTCATACATGTCTAACACCTAGGTCATTTCATACAAGTCTAACAGCTGGGTCATTTCATACATGTCTTACAACTAGGTCATTTCATACATGTCTCACACCTAGGTCATTTCATGCATGGTTTTCCAAATGAAATACAAGCATCTGGCTTACATATTGCTTGGGAAAGATAAATTGTCTCCTATGGCATGCCCCAATGATTGGAATTATGTAAGATGTAAAGCTGTTATACTCCTTACCCCAGGGCGTCTCTTAGTCAGCTCCTCAATCAACTCTAGCTGCATGTAAGATGTAAAGCTGTTATACCCCTTACCTCATGACGTCTCTTAGTCAGCTCCTCAATCAATTCTAGAAGCATGTAAGGTGTAAAGCTGTTATACCCCTTACCTCATGACGTCTCTTAGTTAGCTCCTCAATCAATTCTAAAAGCATGTAAGATGTAAAGCTGTTATACCCCTTACCTCATGACGTCTCTTAGTCAGCTCCTCAATCAATTCTAGAAGCATGTAAGATGTAAAGCTGTTATACCCCTTACCTCATGACGTCTCTAAGTTATCTCCTCAATCAATTCTAGAAGCATGTAAGATGTAAAGCTGTTATACCCCTTACCTCATGACGTCTCTTAGTTAGCTCCTCAATCATTTCTAGAAGCATGTAAGATGTAAAGCTGTTATACCCCTTACCTCATGACGTCTCTTAGTTAGCTCCTCAATCAATTCTAGAAGCATGTAAGATGTAAAGCTGTTATACCCCTTACCTCATGACGTCTCTTAGTTAGCTCCTCAATCATTTCTAGAAGCATGTAAGATGTAAAGCTGTTATACCCCTTACCTCTTGACGTCTCTTAGTTAGCTCCTCAATCAATTCTAGAAGCATGTAAGATGTAAAGCTGTTATACCCCATACCTCAAGACGTCTCTTAGTCAGCTCCTCAATCAACTATAAGAGCGTGTAAGATGTAAAGCTGTTATACCCCTTACCTCAGAACGTCTCTTAGTCAGCTCCTCAAACAATTCTAGAAGCATGTAAGATGTAGAGCTGTTGTACCCCATATTCAGGACGTCTCTTAGTCAGATCCTCAATCAACTCCAGGAGCATGTAAGATGTAAAGCTGTTATACCCCTTACCTCATGACGTCTCTTGATTAGCTCCTCAATCATTTCTAGAAGCATGTAAGATGTAAAGCTGTTATACCCCTTACCTCAGGACGTCTCGTAGTTAGCTCCTCAATCAACTCTAGAAGCATGTAAGGTGTAAAGATAATACCCCTTACCTCATGACGTCTCTTAGTCAGATCCTCAATCAACTCTAGGAGCATGTAAGATGTAACGCTGTTATACCCCTTACCTAAGGTCGTCTCTTTGTTAGCTCCTCAATCAACTCTAGAAGCATGTAAGATGTTAAGCTGTTATACCCCTTACCTCATGACGTCTGGTCAGCTCCTCAATCAAATCTAGGAGGAGGTTTTCTTTAAGATTCATTACTTCTATCAGATGTGCCTTAAAGAAAAACGTATTTTAATCTTAATACCAGCATTAAGGTTTTAAAAAGTCATTGTGTGTGTTAATGTGTTGGAATTAACTTTCCTATTCAAAGAAATTGTTATTCAGTTACAACGTTAATATGCCACCAAATATCCATCTGTTACCCCCTGCCATTGAACTTACCATAGAACAGAAGCACCTACGTATTTCAAATTTGACAAATACATGTAATATTCTTGTACCTATCTTGGGTAACAGCGCACGGTGGAGACCCGGATTAAATTTCCTTTAAGAATACAATACATAATGCTGTAATGAGTACCCCACTTGATATTGCTGGAATATTCTTAAAAGCAGACTCACACTGGTGTTCTCTCGTGTTTACCTGGACGTTTCTGTCACTACTGACTGTCTCCCAAGATTGACTCGCCATCTGGGGTGCCGATGGCTCAAGGCCAGTGTGTGCCTGGGCACGGGGAGGGCATGGCTGCGACTGCTGACGTTGTACAATGCCTCCGGTTGGAAAAGCACTGCCACTGTGGGGGCTACTAGTTGGAGTGTTAGAAGGTCGAAGGGTGTGGCCGGGAGCTGAACTTGTTGTGGGGTGGTAGTTCTCGAGACAGGGCTGACAGAAGGACATCTGGCACTCAACACATTGGACGATGGCGGAAGAGTTACAGATGACACAATCAGTAGTCTGAGAACACAATAGACAAGTTCCCATAAGAAGAATTACCGCATATCGCATTAAATGATATAATATTAGACCCTATTCATTACACATAAAATCTCTGCCCAAGCCAAAAAGGAATTGTGTGATCATTCAGTTGCAATCGTTCATGAAATAGGGTTTACGTTCCATTATTATATGTTATTATTTGGTTTGGATTCTTCCAACAAAATTTTATGATGTTTGTTTGTTCGTTGTTTAACGCCACACTCAGCAATATGCCAGCTATATGACGGCAGTCTGTAAATAATCGAGTCTGGACCAGACAATCTAGTGACTGACATCATGAGCATCGATCCACGCAATTGGGATACAATGACATGCATCAACCAAGTCAGCGAGCCTAACCACCCGATCCCGTTAGTCGCCTCTTATGACAAGCATGAAGCGTATTGGGACTGACAATGTGATCGAGCGTTGTCCCCTGAAAAGTCAATATGAAAATTAATGATACATAATTGTCACTGATCTTACTACAGTAATGAAGTGTGGCATTACCGTTTCAGCTTCTTCAAGATATACAATAGCATGGCCACTATCTTCAGGATGATATGCCTCCAGGCATTGAATACAGAAGGCAATGCTGCATGTTTGACACACGACCTGTGACGCGGTATGCTTGGCTGTGTCACACGTGCTGCACTGCCTGTGGAAGCTGCGTGGAAATGAAGAGGATGACCTCTGACCTGATGACGTCTGCGTATGTTCTGTCGTCTGCTGACGTGATGCCTTCTGCTGACTTCCGACAAGAGGCATCAATGCGCCTTCGTTAGAAGGTCGGGAAAAAGGAATGATCGACTGTTTGTAAATTTCAACCATGTTGCTTAATGGAAAGTTTTTACGCATTTTGCTTGGATCTGGTGGCATCGCCTGTTTGCACTCCGGACACTCTGTGATTCTGGAAACTACCAGACAATTCACACACCGCCGACATAGAGAGTGAAGACACGGAAGCAAAACGGGGTCGGTATACAACTCCAGGCACACAGAGCACGACAACTGTCTTCTCATATTTTCATCCATGTCTCCTACCAAATCAGAAATAGGTTGAAGGGTAAATATTTACATTATCATGTAGGTCAATATTCTAGCACTCTTAACATTGTCACCCTCATTGAGAAGGTATCTTGGCATTCGCAGTTCAGGACCCTGAATCACACAGCATCACAGCATAATAAAAGCGACAAAACTATTTCCATCATCATTTCCATCATCAAAATGATTTCCATAATTTCCATAACTCTAACATAGGCTAACGATCGTCGATACCCAATATGGGTACAAAGGGTAAAGCCCCTTTCTCTATATATTATATCCGTTTTATTGCTGTAATAAACGCGACGTAAAACTATACTTAGTCACTCACACACTCAGATTCGATTATTTACAAGCCTGCGTCACATAGCTAGAATTCTGCTGACTGTATAGTTAAACAATATTCCCACAGTCATCACAGACACTTTAAGTAACATTGGATCTCCTACACGTACATGTAGAAAAGGGATAGAAAAGGTCTTCAGCAACCCATGCTAACGGGATCTGGTGGTCAGGCATGCTTGGTTGATGCATGTCATTGTGTCTCGATTGTGAAAGAGTGCGGCGTTAAACAACAAACAAACAAAACACGTACGTGTGTACTTTATACCGTTATGAACTTGATATGCAATACAACCTGTGATATGTAGATACCCCATGTCTGGCCTTTAACAGGTTTTGAATGATGTGTTTAATTACAATTTTAATGTTTCATTGGGACCCAAGGTTATTATATTAAGGTAAGAGTACCATTTAAGGGACACTGGTACGTTATATTAACATATAATAACTTCCTTTATTACTTGCCCGTGAAGAGATCACCCGTTTAATAAACATACAGCTTTATTACACATTGTGTAATACCAAAACGCGTGCTGATGTACTCTCGGAACACGTTTCTAGAACAAATATTGAAAGCTCTCAACATCCTTTGGCGTATTCAACGACATTGCGTGTGGAGATGATAGATCACTGGGGGGAGCTTATGCACACTCGATGACCCCAGCAACCTTGTTGCTAGGCTGACGTCACATGGCATTGTTTCGCCGATGGATCTTGCAACAAAATTCAACAAATTACGTCATCGGGTATTGTGACGTTATTGTAAACTTTGAGGTGCAAGGCCCCGCTCCACAAGGCGATCGTATTGTAGCGCAACGACAGTCGTTGGTCTAAGTTAAATTATGTGAGTTGTGATAGCCTTAGCACTACGATAATTTTGTGGGACGAACGCCTGAATTCTTAAGGTGGACCATTGTATGATATTAAATTCATACGTTTCAACTTTTGACGTGTTTGAAGTATTATTGTCTTAAACTCAATTGGATTATGCCATGGATCGTGTAGGTGTCAGCCTATTTACACTCAACAGTATGATTCTAAAAACGTTATAAATGGCAAGTAATAAATAAAATACTAAACTCGCTCCCGTGTAAATCCAATTTTATGAAACTCGTGAATAGTTGTGGTATCTGACTCGCTTTCGCTCGTCAGATACCAGAACTATTCACTCCTTTCATAAAATTGGTATTACACGGGAGCTCGTTTAGTATTCTATATTTATTACTTGCCCGTGAAGGGATCACCCGTTTAATAAACATACAGCTTTATTACACATTGTGTAATACCAAAACGCGTGCTGATGTACTCTCGGAACACGTTTCTAGAACAAATATTGAAAGCTCTCAACATCCTTTGGCTTATTCAACGACATTGCGTGTGGAGATGATAGATCACTGGGGGGAGCTTATGCACACTCGATGACCCTAGCAACCTTGTTGCTAGGCTGACGTCACATGGCATTGTTTCGCCGATGGATCTTGCAACAAAATTTCACAAATTACGTCATCGGCTATTGTGACGTTATTGTAAACTTTGAGGTGCAAGGCCCCGCTCCACAAGGCGATCGTATTGTAGCGCAACGACAGTCGTTGGTCTAAGTTAAGATATGTGAGTTTGCGATAACCTTAACGCTGCGATAATTTTGTTGAACGGACGCCTGAATTCTAAAGGTTGGCCGTTGTATGGTATTAAATCCATACGTTTCAACTTTTGACGTGTTTGAAGTATTATTGTGTTAAACTCAATTGGATTATACCTTGGATCGTGTAGGTGTCAGCCTATTCACACTCAACAGTATGATTCTAAAAACGTTATAAATGGCAAGTAATAAATAAAATACTAAACTCGCTCCCGTGTAAATCCAATTTTATGAAACTCGTGAATAGATGTGGTATCCGACTCGCTTTCGCTCGTCAGATACCAGAACTATTCACTCCTTTCATAAAATTGGTATTACACGGGAGCTCGTTTAGTATTCTATACTTAACTCATCTTTTTCAGTCTCACAGAGGCTGTTTAACTACTGCAGTAAAATCGACAAAAAACTTTCTGTTATTATAAGACAGCTTTGATAAAAGAGTCGGTTGTACGAATCCGAATCATAGGCATATCTTTAGGAACAATTATCAAATAGTGATGATACCAGGTGTTCGAGGAAAGGTGAGCATAACCTGCTCCACCGGTGGTACCCACAAACAAATGCAAGGGCAAGTCAGTTGTTCACTCGTACAAAACGGGAACATAGGGTACAAGTCTAAATGATATGGTATAAAGAATACAACCGTAAACTGAGACATCGTTCACAGCAGGATCTGTGCTGCATGTGTGATCCCCGTAATCATTACTCATATATATTTATGTACGACAAACAACTAAAATCTTTCGTTATTAGTGTAGGAAAATATATGATCAATACAACTGCATGGTAATTTTAATTCTTATTTAACTCGAACCATAGCAGATTGTCGGGCCATGTTGCAACCTTAACACACAGAGAGAGGGCAGTTCACTAACGAAAGGTGGCTAGAGTCACATTTTTACAAATTATATTTCAGCAACATTGTATCTATCCTATTTGAGAAGAATATAATACCTACTGGTGTCACTGTGTGAACTTGTTAAGAAGTTGAGTGGGTCGCTCTATCCGATCGACAATAGATCCGTGTTTCTACGTTATCACAACAGCGCCATTTTGATCTAGTTTCGTAGGCTAGATTTATAACCTTATGCATGCTCTTATCTTGGATTGTAACACTGTTATCAAACATGTGCAAGGAAAAGGATACACATGCTATACACGCCTCTAATGAATATACCAGGACGTAGTGGAGCAGAATATTAAAACAGCTGAAATTCAAGGGAAATATAGACACTTTGTACATATTATAATTTAATATATGTTGTAAATATATTATCTCAAGCTTCCGCACATGGTCTGTGTTAAATAGTTTGAGAAATAAACTCCATTATTATCACCTTATGACGTATATAAAACAATTATCCTAGTAAAACGGAGAGGCGGGCGGGTAGCCTAGTGGTTAAAGCGTTCGCTCGTCACGCCGAAGACCCAGGTTCGATTCCCGACATTGGTACAATGTGTGAAGCCCATTTCTGGTGTCCCCCGTCGTGATATTGCTGGAATATTGCTAAAAGCGGCGTAAAACCATACTCACTCACTCCTAGTAAAACATATTATGAAACGATCAATGTGATCCTTTAATGAAACACTTTAAACGTCTTTAATATAGTTACCTTATGTAGGTTACGTCAACCCCCTTGATGCTGCCAGGCGACGAAATATGTATCGTTACAAGGAGTATTATACGAGGTATAAAGTTTGATCTAAACTAGTTGTGTTACGCCAGACCGATCATGTATGATGCATGGTGTCTCTGACGGAGTAAATCAGGGGTTGTGTTGACCTTGCGTTCAGTGCTGTCGTGTACGAGTGAAGTGTGCCGCCCCTTGTCTCCGCTGTCTTCCTGGGTTAAAGATTATGTAGAATTGATCGCACCTGTTAACCTATGTGTGAATATGCATAGAGGATGTGACGTTAACACAAGTTATGTGGTTATCGTGTACAGCTGTTTTGTTGGAGGGGTAGTTCGATTCAATTTACTGTTTTTTTTATTGAGACATGTCTCAAAGAAGAGTGAGTGAGATTGGTTTTACGCCGCTTTTAGCAATATTCCAGCAATATCACGGCGGGGGACACCAGAAAATGGGCTTCACACATTGTACCCATGTCGGGAATCGAACCCGGGTCTACGGCGTGACGAGCGAACGCTTTAACCACTAGGCTACCCGACCGCCCCCTCAAAGAAGATAGATATGAAGCTAAAGTTGCTGAGTTACTCCTCGTGGATATGCTTTCACATAGTATCCAAGAATAGGATTCGTTTGTTTGTTTGTTTGTTTGACGCCACAAACAGCAATATTCCAGCTATATGACGGCGGTCTGTAAATAATAGAGTCTCGGCCAGACAATCTAGTGACTGACATCATGAGCATCGATCCACTCTTTTGGGATACAATGACATGCATCAACCATGTCGGCGAGCCTGACCATCCGATCCCGTTAGTCGCCTCTAACGACAAGCATACACTACTGCCTAGAAGTTCATTCCCCTTACACGCATGGGCAACGCGTTACGCAACCTGTGTGCACCCCGTTGGTCACCCGTGTGGAACCCGTACGCCACGCGTGTGATACCCGTGTGCAACGCGTGTCACACTCATTAGAGGGGGAACAAACTTTTGACCAAAGGAGGACCCATGGGCATGTCTACCTGAACCTGGACGTGGTAACAAGGAGATGACTTTTTGATTTCCTGACGAAAAATGTTCATACACATTTTATTATATGTACTTGCTGATGTTTCATTTTTAGATGTGATTACATGGTGTCTTGCGATGGTGTTAAGAGAATACATGATCCTGTTACATGTTATTGCTATTCAAATGCTTTTTTTGTGATTTGACATTAAGCGTCTGTAGTACGACTTTCAGTGATCATGTTTATGAGGTTTGGTGGGGCATTGTGTTCATTGGACCCTTATTACTTTATGATGGTTGGGCCTCTTCGTCTCAGCTCGATAGCCGTGACGCTGGGAAAGGGCAGCATTTAATTAATGAGAGTAGCATATATCCTGGAGGATACACTTGAGGGAGAGGGCTATACTAATTACCGTACCACAGGAAGAGACCTGTAGACGTGAGCACGGGGTTGTGTGTAAGATGGCCGTTGCATAATGGCCGCCAGGAGTGGTAAACATTGAGCTAAAGCAGTGTTGTTTTCACGGGCCTGTTGAATAAATTTCCAGCGCTGCTGTCCATATATCTTCTACTTGATCCTGGATACATCATTTTGACATTTACATTATAATATTTTTCTACGTACATTAATGGTTTACTAGTCATAGATTTTAGAGTATTTGTCAATTGTGGTGAACGTACAAGCAAAGATTTTAATTTGTGGTGACATCTAAATTTAAACGTCTCATTTAAAACAATACGTAAGTACGATAGTAAATAATAATATTCAAATCGCATTAAACTACAATGAGACATCATCTGAATATGACTATATATGCAAATGTTACGAAACTGTACCTATCTTCACGAATTATTAAAAAATGGGCATAAAGTTCACGGAGACGAAGGCTATAGATACAATACCATATTTTATTTTTTAGATGATAAAGTACATCATTTGATAATGAATTCAGTTATTGATATCTAAAAACCGATTTTCCATATTAATAAACATTTCATGATAAAAAACAATCAGATGTGTGATATAAATTCATTCTTTAGTATCCATAAAGGAATTATTGATATCATATAACGAATACATAGTAAAAAGGCGCCCTATATATTGTTCTTTGTGGACTGTAACGTCAAGTAACGCATTTGCAGCACGGTTATAATGTTAATTGCTAGTCTTTTTTTCTGCACCATCATTTCTTTCATCTTATGAAAAAATGTTTTAAAAATGGCAACTTATAATTAACTTATATATAGCACTGGTGTAGATAAATAGTACACACACTAATTTAATGTCACAGCTGGCCTCAATCTGTCACATAGAGCACTAAAACTACTATATTTCAAGTCTCTTAACCAAGTTTGAGAAGATGACCAACAGCATCAAGGAACTCGATAGGGGTTTTCTGTCCTTGAGTCAACATGTCCTTAAGACGTCTCAGGCGATTTTCAGGCTCTCTGTAAACTCGCTTCCTGCTGGGTGGGGCGGCACCAAAGTCTAACTGTTTTTGTCCTGTCTGCACACTCAATCTTCTTAATCACTTCTACAAATCGGTAGATATTCGGGTGGCGGTGGGGTAAGGTTCTGTTAAGGCCACTGTGAAATCCCTCAAGATTGTTGTTGGTGCGAGGGCCGGCTGTCTGGTGGTGATTCAAGAGAGGTATTGGAAACCGAGCATCATTGATGACCATATAGTTGATGACCATATAGTCATTGAAGTCTTCAGTTCTCGGAACTGGTGGAGTTGCCTGCTTAGCATCCAACCAGGTGTCCTGGACATCACGCAAGGGCAGGAGGGCAAGTCCAGCAGCTCTTCTGATCCAGGATCTTCCTTGTACTGTACTGCTAATCCAAGATCCTGTGTCTTCCGCCAGATCGCCTGACAATAATGAAAAAAACAACCTTTGACGTCGGCATTCGGGAACTCTGTGTTGACGGCACGAATGGCAGCCTTCTCAAAATCCGTCTGGACAGTGGCAGGAGCGAGAAGACGGTTGAATCTCTGTTGGACTTCTGTTTTGAGTCGGCTGAACAGTCTGGTGTAAGTTGTGGTCTGTCTGTCAGGCAGGAGGGCTAAGACAAGTGGGCACATACAGGAACGACTTCTTGCATGTATGATGTATACCTGGTTCCACAAATCTGGGCAAGATGTAAATGTTCCGTCCATGTATACAGTGTCTGCAGACTGCAGAGCTTGGAGTTGGTCATGGGTAGAAAATACAACAATCTTGTTGGCATCGCAATCAGTGAAAAGCAGGAATGGGCGGCTGTCTGTTGTTTCAGTCCAGTTTCCTTCAAGTTGGACTTCAGCTCTTGTCTGTGGGAGTGCTGGGTTTTTCTTCCGCCTGTGTCGGTACAAGGCACTGCTCATGGATGGGAACGGTGGCAGCAGCTGTGGCTGGTCTTCTGTATCTACCTCACCGTTGTACAGGGTACGCATCGACATGGTTTCTTCTCTGGCCCTCTTCCTCATGGTACTGATGAATCTTACTCTACTGCTGAGACATTTCTGATGAAGTCACCTACAGTGGTGCATCTGCCCTTACAAGTGGAGTCTACACACTTCCAGTGAATGCATGTCTGTCTGACAACATTCTTGTTATAACGATAGCCATCTAGGAATACCTGCACAGTACCCTTCTGTGACATGACATACTCCACTTTCCTGATACCAGCCATAGTGATAAAATGTCATCTGACTGGTTTATAGGTTTTACGTCCGCTTCGCATTTATTGCATTTCGCGGACGGGGTAGGTGAGGATTGCCTAAAAGTCGGGCCGGGCCGGGCCAGCGGGTAATACTAAAAATGGATTGCAGAATAATAAAACGAAACGCGCATATCTAGGCAGATCTCAAATGTCCACAAACGTATAGTTTTGCTCATTTAATTGAGTTTGAATAAAAATGCACCTTCAACAATGTAATTAACTGATGATTATGACTACATACCGTGAGTCTCGTAGAAAAGTCAGTGTCTTGACTGTGTGTATTCTTTGATTAGAATGCTTCTCACCGACCTTAGCGTGTAGGGGTGTGATGTCCTGGGCAGGAAACGACAGTGTTTTGACTACTCTTCTTTCATTAATTAACGTGTTAAGGTAATTAACCTTTACTAATTCGTGTAAAACCAACACAGGCTGTTTACTGGAAGTGGATATTCGCGAATGTCAAAGGACTGACACGACACGTGTTAATAACTGTCCAAGCACTTCTAAAGTTCCTAAAATTCTTTATATCTAAAGACTAGTATTATATCTCATTATATACCACTTTATTGTCTCATATTTCAGTAGTTTAAGAAAACAAGGTGCTCAAAGTGAAGCCCTCTTCCCTCTACATTCTCAACATAGTCTCTATCAGAAGTGTTTTGCTTGTGTTGGGTCCGACTTGGCCCGGGCTGTCAAAATCTACTTTAAACACACAGATGTATCTTCAAATGTGTTTACATCTATAGATTAGTGTTATATCTACCTATATACCACTTTATAATGTCACGGTACATCGTATTTAAAGAAAACAAGGGGCTCAAAGTGAAGCTCTTTTCCCTCTACATTCTCAACATAGTCTCTATCAGAAGTGTTTTGCTTGTGTTGGGTCCGACTTGGCCCGGGCTGTCAAAATCTACTTTAAACACACAGATGTATCTTCAAATGTGTTTACATCTATAGATTAGTGTTATATCTACCTATATACCACTTTATAATGTCACGGTACATCGTATTTAAAGAAAACAAGGGGCTCAAAGTGAAGCTCTTTTCCCTCTACATTCTCAACATAGTCTCTATCAGAAGTGTTTTGCTTGTGTTGGGTCCGACTTGGCCCGGGCTGTCAAAATCTACTTTAAACACACAGATGTAGCTTCAAATGTGTTTACATCTATAGATTAGTGTTATATCTACCTATATACCACTTTATAATGTCACGGTACATCGTATTTAAAGAAAACAAGGGGCTCAAAGTGAAGCATTTTTACTGTATTTTCTTAAGAAAATCTCTGTCAGAAGTGTTCGGTCCGACTTGGCCCGGGCTGTCAAATCATCTTAAACCTCACAGATGTATCATCAAATGGATCCACATCTTTCGATTAGTATTATATCTACCTAAATACCACTTTATAGTGTCTCAGGTCGCTGTACTTAAAGAAAACA